GTTTCATGGTCACAATCAGTTATATGCATCAGGCATTATTTCTGGGAAACCTGGTCTATTGTTGAGTACGAAATAAGAATACGTTAGAATGCAAATACCACAGGAATCTACAATCAAAGCCAATGACACTGCCTATACCAATTCGTGCTAACTGCGGATGTAGTTACATTTGCAGAATGGTTCGGTCTTTTATTTCCCGAATAAAAGGAGAAGTGCCGGGGTAGGATCAACCCGAAATTCAACAGCGTCCTGCCCCCTGAATCGTCATGCTAGCGCAGACCGCTTGTCTGTTCAATAGTTAAGCAAGTACTGTGCACGTGTCACCGGAGATAGCTCTGAGCATCATTCTTTGTCCTGTTAGGTGTTACGTCACCCTGATCCTCGCTTCTTCCGTTTCACCGAGGCTGTGGCGATAAGCCGGATGAAGCCAGTGTGTCCAAAAACAATTTGTTGTGGTCTATAAACTGCCATAAACATAGGGTAGGAACTTCCTTCATTCATTTTGCACTTCAAGCTTGTTTGGTCACACCCACAATTATTTACATAGTTGTACATCGGTTATTGTTTATGGTATTGAGGAGACAATACGAAATGCAGGCAACTACCAGCTTTTGCTTTCTTACCGCTTCGTTCAATTTGCTAAAGAAAACTAACTGCTTTATATATATGTGTGTCAATCACTGTTGTTTCTAGTACTCGGTTCCATGTCAGCTAATAAAAATCCACCGCGTGTCTGCGGCACCATAATACACCAGTGCTTTCACTCGACGATAATAAGTTAACGATACAAAATGGCTAATAGTGTGTTTGGTCGAACTGCATTTCTGAATGTACTCTCGAGCCTCATCTAAATAACTACCCGTGGTTTAAGTTCAATTTGGTGAGCCGAATTGCTCCTTTGGTGAAATGGCACTTAACTCCAGATTCTCTAGGTAGGTCTGCTCCAGAGATGGACGGATTTAGCACTATCAAGGCAGTACATTGTAACTTGACTTAAATGACCTTATTTGGTTAGGACTGTGCTTGGTTCACTTCCATAGAAGGAAGCAGGTTTAGTGTTGTATACAAATGGGTTTAAGAGTGCAACCCAGTAGAATTTTTCCTAATTAGTACACTACCAGAGGAAAAACGTAACAAGCTAGTTGGCAGATGTGATAAACATTTAGCCCCATTAACTTAATCCAAATACGTGATATTTAACTGGTGTATTTCATTGAATTCAGCCGATAAAAATAGCTCCAACATTTTAGGTAAAAATGACATACAGCGTTAGTCAGATTCACTTATATATAATAAATATAACAATAACATATACTCCCGGCTTTGTTCAAACAGCAGCTTCTGCTATTAAAGCTGTTATTACTGCTGCTACTACCACAGCTACCACAAGAAATGCGCAATGAATATGTCAACTCCAATAGTTGGGAAACGTTAGCGAGCAAAGTACTCGACCAGGCTTGCCAACTTACATCATTTGTATATTCCTGTAATATTAAAATAAAACAGATTACATGCACTGCCCGCGTAGCTAAAATAACTAAAGTGTCAAAATCAAGATTATGCAAGGTAGTACGTAACGTCTAAATAAATATAATGTAAACTGATTGCACCAAATCGCTTTATTAAAAATGTTCTCCACCGTGTTCGAGTAAAACAGAAGAGATCCCATCGGGGCCAGGTCTGTAGGATGGTCTTAAACAGGTAGGTAATCATACGTTTTATCTTAGAGACACTAAGCTCCATCGCTGAGACTTGTTCAGAGAATTGACACGAGGTTGACAATTCCACGGTTTCTTTTTCAAGATTAGTATGTCTAGTAAATTATGAGTTAAAGGCTTCTGCCATGGCAATTGTGGATTAAATGCCTTCGCCTTCAGGCATGATGATGTGGGAGGATAGGTCAGTTTTGCCACCTCTCCTTTTTCTCAGTAATGTAGTCACCAGTTGACTTGTATTACTATTATTTACAGCCCGTTGTTCTTCCTGTTTGAGACGGGTATGGTGTCTCTTGTCCCTCTCTATAATAAGGCGTTGGAGTCTCAGTAATACACAGAAGTCGTGAGTATGTTCATATGTTCGAGTTAGCACTCGTATTTTCCGCTTGTCCTTTGCGTTGTTAGCGTACTTATAATAGACTCACGTAATAGTACAGGAGGCAAGTGTGCTTAAGCGTTTGGTCACATTGTTTTACAATATATGAGAGACTCCCTTAATGTCAGACGAAATAAAGAAACGGTCCCAATGTTGGGCCCTAAGCAATGCGGAGAAATCCAATTAAGATTTCGCAGGAAGTGTGGAACTACCGCAGACCTCACATGCGATGACTCAGCTATAGGTTTACATCCGACTATTTTGTGATCACATTCAGAGAGATTGTCAATTATATCAGTAGCTATTTTGGAGACGCCTAAGGTAAAACGTAGGTATAGAATATGTTTCCCACTAGTATCCACGAAAAAATTTTGCTCCCAACCAACCAGTGATGAAGGAGGTTATGAATTCAGCATGCTTCGCGTTTGTTACTAAGTTTGATTAACGGATATCTGGTAGGTTGAGATCTCCACCTAAAAATTTATAAAAAATTCTAGTTCCGATATGTAATTAATGATGTTAATCAACTGGTTCTCATCAATGAAGCTGGCCCCGGGTGGGCGGTATATACAGCCTACAAGAGTTCGTTTACTACCGAAGGACAATAGTAACTAAGCGGAGTCAATAGTGGGGCATATAAGTGGAAGTGTGAGTTCAAACACAAAGAGGTTCTGTGAGTAATAACTTCTGCACCCACCTCATCTGCGGTTGCCTGGGTGCAGTAGAAAGCATTATTATCTTCGGAAGTGAAACTCGGTGTACTTAAGCGACAGGCGCCGATGGAGTCTACAACATATAAATCAAGCGCATGGTGTTTTAGTTCATGACGTTGCGAGTGCCTGAGCCAAGCAGCGCTGGTGGGCCACCATCGTTTCCACCTTGGGCTTGCATTCAAAAGAAGATTGATCGAATGATTATTTAAGCATATTCAGAGAACTACTTTAGGTAGGCTACGTCCGCATCCATTTCTTTGATTAAACTAAGCCAATCAGGCGGTCGATGTGGTACGTGTGCCGCATCGTCTTTACAGTTATCCTGTACTTGACACGCGTGATGTTGATTAATATCCTCGGTATGGCTGGGCTTAATGTGGACGTTGACAAGATGCCTATCTGCCTATTACCCACCGCCTGGTCTATAATGGCTCCAGGACACAGTTGATTGTTACTGGAGAGTGATGGGTTCACGGTCCTCATGACGATGCAAGGTTCAAATAGTGGTTTCTTCCAGGGTGGAACGGGCTACGTCCCAGCCACCTCTTGTGTACGTCTGGTAAAATGATTCGGAATTTAGACCTGAATTCTCCTGTTCTGCCTGTTGAAGATTGCGTGGATGATACATGGCTTCCATCCACATGCCTCCCTGTCTTATCCCTTTGTGTTTGCACTCGACATGTGGTGTGTGGATGGAACTGTGAGTTGTGAAACCTTGGTCCCTCCCCTTTGGCAGCCACGTTGACCGGTACATCCGGAATGGGATTCTGCCAACCTTTTGTACGTGTAAGCATATGGATAAATTGTGTTAATCTGACACTGCATTTTTGATTATGTCTAATAAATGCGTCAGCTTAATTGAAGATCACAGGAACTCCTTGCGAATTTTGATGACGGACGTCCGCATATATGTAATATCATTAGGCAGAATAGTTGCAGCAAAATTAGTTAGCGGCGATTCACATCAGCCACTGCTCACGTTCGTTAAACACAAGCGGATGCAAGCCCGTCACGCCCGGGAACACTGCAGACGAAACGTTAGCTGTAACGTAGCTAACTCTCACCCCCAGCTGTCACCACATTCAGGTTCTTTGGCTTCCAAACCTACAATTACAGTTCAGTTATTCAACAGGCTTCGGATACTACATTTAATTTGAGCTCCATGAACCTTTTGAGCCTGAATACTGAAGGCCTAGGTTTCTCAAAGTATTGATGCACTTTCATGGCTTTTCAGGCATAGCCCGCGTGCGGGGTGCAATTGTAGAACAATATAGAGAGAAGCTGCGGTTTTCCGTTGAAAATTGCATGTATCATTTAGTACACCGTAATCCATGGCTTTTAAATCACATGTAATGGCGTTCATGCTTTGGTCACAGTCAGTAACATCAAAAGTGTACACGAGTCTCACATTGTCAGCAAACAAGTTCGATAAACCGCATTGTATTACGTTAAATTTGCCATTAGATGTAATGAAAAGACTAGTAGGCATGAACTACACAAAGAAATGTTCTCAGCTGTGCATTTTATCATTCATCCGAAACACTTGTTTTCGGTTTGACAAGGATTATCTGAACAATGATATCAATACGTCACTAATTCTAAATGTTGCCACTCGATTTATAACCTTTTTGTGCGTCTCATTATCAGACAGTATGTGCATGTATTTGGAGGTTACCACCGATGATGGGCCTGCTGAAACTGGCTCGTAACATTTCACACGTAGTCGCTATTTCAGTAAAAATGATGTGTGTTAAAAACAGGCCACGTATCTGGAAGGGAGCAAGTATTTTTGAGCCGATTTCTGTCAATTCTTTGGCAAATTATGTAAGTTGACTGATAGTCCTGTACTTTTATAATGCCGTAATTTGTTTAACTTTTGCGACATGGTTAAAAAGCGACTGTCTTTTAAAAGGCAGTTGCTTTACCTGCTTGAAATAAAAGAGATAATATCTGCCCCATAATTATAGCATCATTGAAGAAGAGCAACGGGTCCTACATAGTTGTATTATTTTATAGAGCTGTATTTATTTCCATTTATCTCGATATACATTCTCAACATTGGAGAGTTGAAGTTATGGTGGCTATATCAAGCGAACGGGAAGAAGTCGCTTCGTTGATGTATACACACAAGTATCTTTCAGAATCTCGGTCATGGAGATAGAGTCATTAATAAACGATACATTACGAAGCTTGACCTGTTTATAGTATACTTGGTTCCTGCATCTATTTACCAGTACCACTAAAATGTGCTTATCAAAATTAACCTAAATCTGATCGCAAGCTTTGAAGGTAGCACGAAAGCTTCATAAGGTTCGGCAGAAATCCAAGTTAACTGCTGACTTTTCGCTATTATTACAGCAGCCGAAGCTCGTAGAAGAAAAGTGGCATCAAGGTGATAAAACTCTCATTCTAGAAAAGTATAAAGCTCTGAACGGACCTAGCAAAACTGCTGATCTAGCCAAACTATCACATGCCCAAGGTTTACGTTGCATCGAAAATATCAAATTTTTCACCAACTCTGATGGAACATACTACGAAGCACGAGGTAGTATCTGCAAAATTTCAGTTCTTATGTTGCCGAATGAATGCCCAATGAATCATCAGACACACCAACACTTATCATGCCGCACAGCAATGATGGTCTATGCGCATTGGAATTCACTATAGCGAAAATCGCTGGTCAAGTCTCTCGTTTATACTTCTCAACGTGCGCAAGCCCTAATGGGATCCACCCTTGTATAATAAAAATAGTGGTATTGACTTCCTTCTGCTATGCTCAAAAACTTTACACTCTCTGTTAACAACGTGATAAACCCTACTTAATGGAAGACTTCTGTTGTTTTCCCGAGACATATAATGGCGCTGCCCACGAGGTTAAAAGCTTCGTCCCATGAATCACACAACCATCTTATCTAGAATAATGCAAAGGATAGTTAAATATAAACTATTTATATTCTTGAACTATGCTAACATTATCAGTAATTCGCAACATGACTTCATGGATGGTCCAGCCTGCAGAACATGGCAGACTGAATTTTAAACTACACAATGGCTGCCATTGGCAAAGGAAAGATTGTCGTAATCCTGTTCCTGGATATGCAAAAAGCCTTTGATAGAGTGCCTCACAGAAGGTTACTAAGCAAACTGAAGGCTATAGGCATTAGAGAACCGATGTTCTCTTGGTTGTCTTCATATCTAAATAGTAGACAGCAAGTGTTGCGCATCGGCGACCATTTCTCTAAACCGAAAACAATCACTAGTAGGATGATTCAAGGAAGTGTTCGCGGACTTCTACTCTTTCTAATTTATATCAACAATATATTCCAGAAAATAAGAAACGGTGTTGTATTTATCTTTGATGATAACTTTAAAGTTAGCTACTCACAAGCACGTGCCGCACGTATCATTTAAAATGACCTATCTGCCCTTGCCCCCTGGTGCCAATTGTGGCAGGAATCATTTATCATGGACAAGTGTACTATTTTGTCGTACAAATGTCAAGTACCGCCAGACAGTTTATTACAACAAGGCGCATATATCTCGCAGTGCAGGGCAGTCCGCGAATTGGTCGTGCAATTTTCAGTCACGTTTAACTTTTCTGAACACTGCGACTCACAAATTCCGAAAGCCATGAAGACCACGGTTATATCTGCCATTACTTTTAGGGAATCTCGCATATCCCTTTTCAAAACATATATATTGCCGTGTATAGGATATTGCTCAATCGTAGAGTCTAATCTACGGGAAGCTGACCAGCACGCTCTTGAGAGTGTCCAGAAACGCTTCAGGAGAAAGCTATGTGGATATTCTCAAAATTCACATAAAGAGAGCAATGTGATAAAATTAAATTTGACCCAGTTTTCTTCGGATATTGAAGCCAAACCTATATTTTCTTTACAGAATCAAAAAGTTGTCAAATATTTAGTCTTGAAATCGGTGTCCATATATGTTTAAAAAGCAGACATCTAATACGTAACATAGAGGCAAGCGTCATGATTCCAATATTTACTACGAGAATCACAGAAGGTTTCTTTCTAACCCAAAACTCAATGCTTTGGAATAAACTTTCAAGTGATATCACAACGTGCTATACCCTTTGGAATTTTAGGCTTGGCGTTAGTAAGCATTGAACGGTCCAAAATATGATTAGTATGTTTGGGACACAGTCCCTAAATACCACATTCGGAAACGGTTTCCATGATGCCTGAATAACTTTCCGAAACACACACATAAAATTTTGGACAAAAGCCCCTTTCATTAAATTTTTTACTCGGCTCAACCACATGTCATAGGATTGGGAAGAATCTTGATTCATTGACAGGAAAATATAGCAGAACAATACGGATTGCTCTGTGTTACCTAATCTGCAATTGCGCCCCTTGTTTATTTCTGAAAATGCATTAATGAAATGTCATGGAAAGGTCGTAACAATAAATGATCTGTTTTTTAGGCAACCGCTTCTCGTATCGTAGAGGAATATACAATTTATTTATTTATATGCAATCATCAAAAGTATACCAAATAACTTCAACAGTTTATATTAGCAAACCTTCAAAAAAGCAATTTAAACAAAAGAAGGAAGTTGCGGATGTGAGGCAAAGCGCCACTTTGTTTAGGGTGTTTAGTATTTGCATAAAATTCACAAATCCCTTCACGTCAGGAAACTCGCTTGCTTTACCATTGATTTAAGTTATTCCTCCAATCCGTTTTTTAAACCTACTTCTTATTCAGAACAGACAGTACCCTGCTTCACCGCAAGTAAGTGAATCAAAATTTCATTTAAAATTCGTTAACAATCTGGCTAGATGGCACCATTATAACGTCCACCTTCACCTCTGGAACAATGGGGCTAATTACGAAGAGAGTGCTAAGATAATTTAGTTTTGGAAATAATCATACAATTATGTAGTGACGCAGTTATAAGTGTCAACCTCCATATAACTTGTAAATTACTACAACTGCGGCAAGCCGAACACCGATACAACTGTTATAAGAGCTATACAAAAGGAACAGCTATTTGGCTTTTAATAGAGGGGTTTGGAACGAATTACTAATGTTGGCTAACTGATTGATATAAATAAGATATGACATAAAGCTGCTTACAATTTAGAATTTTGTTTATATAGCTCATGTACAGAATACTGATTGATGAATGATTTGGGCTCTGACAGAACCGCCGAAGCTTTGTTCCGGTAGATTACACAACGTATTATCCTAGCTGTAAGCAGCAATATCAAGTTCTGAAGAAGAATTCGATAATTCTGGCAGCTTTGATCCTATACACAGGGTAACGGCTTTGCTAACTACAAATCTTTTTTGCGTATAAAAATACTTTAGTAAATTCGTAATGTAACGACTAATAAGAACGTTGTCACATCTATAATTTACATTTAAAGAAATGATAAAAATTCAACTTATTTTGATGTATTTACTACCGTTAAATTTGCAAGTGTTATTTCGGCTAATTAATAAGGTTGTAAAATGAAGTAAACTGATTTACATATGTTTTCTTGTAGGTTGTTTCTTAGGAGTATTTACGATCGCATAGGATTACTCAAAGTATACAAAGCATCCACCACGTTCCTTTGGATATGATGGCCCGCCTAACCTAACTAATGCTGCGGGTTTGCAGTGTTCACTAACAGATTTACAGTGTATATGTTCCAGGTAGTCAAGTCGACATATTGCCCTACTTAGCCATTTAACTCTAAGTGATCCGCTGTATTAAAAAATACATTTAGTGGTGGTCGACTATAAAATCCTAAAGAGTAGTATTAACTATGCGGCAGGATAAGTTTGTTTGTGCATCTTGCATTGTCATAAAACAGATGTAATATACAAGGCATACACTTTCATATAAATACACAAACTTGAACAAAATATTAACTAAAGTATTCGTAATGGGCACATATTTTGGTTTGACTGCCGTTGTTTCTCCAAACCTAGATCCCTATCATCTTTTTAATTTACTGATCTCAATACGCAAGCTGAAAATTTAGTGCATTAAGATGAAAAAGCTTTTCTTGCTATACTTTATAAATTTTTATATTATCCTTGAATTTATCAAAATGTACATCGAGGATGTGGAATTTTATGGCATTCGAAATCTCATAATTCTAAATTAGATGCTCAGACCTTTCGGTCATTTGATTGCTTGGGCACCCGTGAAGTACTGCAACGAATCTTCTTAAACCAACCTTCCTCGATTTATACAATTACCCAAGGAATTCCAGTCACTAGAATATCTGCTTTATCTGTGGTCCAACTTTTCCCCTGATAGCTATGGAAAATGAAACTAACGGTATGGAAATCAAAAAATTGCTTTGAATACCGGTACTTTGGTAGGCACTTTCTGTTGTTAGGACTTTCAGCATTTTGGGTAACTTGACTGCCGAAGTTTTGTCAACATTCAAATTGACATCATTAGTGCAAGTGTGATGGCGCTCAGATAGCAGGAGCTGGTAAAAGCAAACACAACGATGGATACTG